TGAGGTGTATCACCTGCAAAACAGCATATATTATCAACATGAATTGCCGTCCCCCCATCTTGTTGAAGCATCTTTCTCCTATCTGCTTCGGGGTGTTGAGGGACCTTAAGAGTCCATCAGTCAGGATGGGGGCAGGGCTATGTCCCCCTGAAGTCCTGGAGAAGGTCATGATTTGAATGCCTTCCATGGATCCCTCTGCCAAGCTTCCCACATCTGGCTATGTCCAGCATGAGTGTGACTATATGCTCAGCTGAGGTAGGCAGGCCATTCTTCAGTCCTGTACTGCTTCATTTATTTCTTTTTTCCACTCAGCTCTCCCCATTTCAGGTTCCCAAACACGTGTCTCTTAAGCTTTCTCTCTGCTCCATGTTTGGTCAGATGGTAAGATGCTTCTTCCAAGTAGATTCTCCAGCCGCAAACTCTGGGCCCCAGTTATATTAGATTTGGTATACATACTGGCTAAACAGCATGTTGTAGCCATGTGTGACAGCCTCAAAAGATGTTTTAATACTTGTTTATATCTGATTGGAGCAATGTTAGTAATCTCCCAAAAATAACATCAAGGTGAGCACAGACTTGGAATCCCAACAGATGAATGGATAGGTCAAGGCTGGAATTAAATTTAACCCACATAAAAGAGTGTTGGATACTTTGCGGGCGGGGGATGGGACTAGAGGACCTGTTGGAGCAATAATGCTCTGGCAGAAATGTTTAAATCTTGTTAGCTTATTCAGAGAAATGAAAATGAGGATTCCAATGTCTGAAATTCACCTCTTAAACTAAGAAGACGATAAAATGATAAATTTCAGTCTTGACCACTGTGACTGTTCTGACTCAGTGTAGAAACAGATTGGTTCAAAGATTTCACTGTTCAAGAGAATCATAATTAGTGAAAGGAATAATATATTGTGAATTATTACCATCCTGTACCACGACTTTTCATAAGGCAATTCATATTCTTTTTCTGGAAGGTGATCTTTTTGAGCACAGCACCCAGAGATGTTTCCCCTTTCTGGATTTTATATTTCATAAGCATAGTAAGAACAAAGATGAAGAAAGTTATTATTCCAGCTTTTGGGGAAAAATGGACTCATTGTAATGAATTTAAATATTTTAAAATATAAAATATCAGTGTGAATAATAAAGATAATTAAAGCAATAAAATACAATAACATGTAATGATAAAACAAAGAAAAGCTGGAGGAACAGGTTTGTTATCATCCCATCCCAAAAATGCTTAGAGCTACTTCATCACACTAGAGAATGAATCCACTTTAAATCTGGTTTCTGGCTCCTTCAGGGTTTGTAGTTTAGTGAGGCTGTTAAAGGCTCCTCCCTAAACTACAAACCCCAAAATTCTGCAGCAAGGAGCAATCGGATTTAAAGTGGATTCATTTTTTAGTTTGATGAGGGAATAGGAAAACAGACTTTCCCTCCAATTCAGTGAAGTTAAATAGAGGAAAATGAGCAGAAAGGATGCAAAGTACAACTCCTGCAAAATTTATCTCAGAACACTAATAGTCTTTCAAATAAGAAATAAAACGCTTTAATAAGATGCTAGCTGAGATTTTGCATTATCAAAGATAAATGGTGCTATTTTGTCATTGTTATGTCTGACAATGTAATCCTCCTTCCCCAAAACACCTACCCAGCTGAAGGGTTTCTGAAATTCTGTAGATCAAGGCCCTGGAAAGTTAAATCTGCAGTCCTCTTCTGGTAGCGAGGTGCTGAAGAGGCCCTTTGGAGTCTCGCTGCAATTGCTTCACTCAGTGTGCCCTGCAAATGGAATAAATGCTGAATATGTCATTTCTAATTTGCAGCAACTTGGAAACCTTCTGGCTGGGGCATTTTCAGGCTGAAAAGATAGATTTTAGGGTTACATTTTGTTGTAAGCTATCCTCAGTAGTCATGAGATCAGAAGTCCAGCCTACTGAACAGGATGACAACCATTATTTTTAAGGGGTGTGTGAACTGAAGCCTCTATGACCAAATTGCTTCAAATTAAGTCCATCGTTCATTACAGTTATCAATAACATAAGAGAACTCTCACAGAAGCAAAATTCATATTTTGACAGGATGTGCCTGATTAAACTTGGACCATGCACAGACTGAGGTAAGAGGGAGCCAGAAGAGATATCCAACATGTGTCTTCTGGTGTCACAGAGGCCATTTGTTGGTAAAACTCCAGCTAGCACTAGGGAAAAAAACCCAGTACATGGCAATCTATAAACTTCTGCTTAGTATAATTAGCCAGACATGCTCTTGTGTATGTATATATGTTTTCAAGTTGCTTGTTGACTTATGGCAACCCCATAAATGTCATTGGCATTTCTAAGGTAAGAAACACTCAGAGGCAGCTTTGTGTGTACCTTCATCTGGAATATACCTACAGCACCTGGTGTTCGGTCTACCGTCCACGTCTCCCAAAGAAAACCAGTGCGATATACTATGTTTCAGAGGAAGGGCTGGTCAAAACCATCTCTGAGTATTTCTTGCCTAAGAAAACCTTTTGAAATTCCATGAGTTGATGGGCTACTTGAATACATACACATGCACCAACATCTCTGAAAGGAGACAGATCTCATGTCCACTGGGATTCCTGAAAAATTTGGTTGAAGGACAAAACTTACTATAGAGGAACATTACCACCTGCAATCCCTTTATTAAGTTGTGCCATAAAACTGCACAGGCTTTTAAGCTTTCCAGAACTATTCACCCGGCTAAACGGTGAAGAAATTGGAGTATACAATTAGACTAAATGTTGTGGCTGAGATCTCCAGTTCAATCCATCCCAAGATGGAGACTGAAGATTAAATAAATTATAGGCAGGTATGCTGGTTTCTGGTTACACCTAGCAGCTCATATTGGGACAAAGAACGAATGAGTTATTGCAATTTTTGAAAGTACAAAAGTTGGCTAAAACTCAGATCTGTCTTTTCCCTTGGGCAAAACACACTGGTTCCTGAACCAGCTGAGCAGAAACACAGGGAAAGGTGACAGTATGTGTTTGTGTATATGTATATTATATATATACACAAACAAAGCTGAAGATTAAACATTTCATGATGTAATAAGTGAAGAGGTTGGGTGAAGCCAAATTGTGAATATTCCTTAGCTGTTGTAGGGTATGAAATCTTACATGCACACAGTCATTTTCCAGTGGTAATCTTCTTTCTTTGGTGATTGATCCTGAAGGGCCAAGTGCTATGTTTTCCAAACCATATTAAAAATTAAATATAATTATTCTTGTCACTGGTATATTGATGAGTAGAATTGCAGAAACCTATATAGTTCTACAATTAGTCTACATTTAGCACACCTGAAATCTGCAGAAAACAGTAAATGAGTGACCTTCACACCTCCCTCAAATCCCCCAAGCAAGTGTTGTCCATGAAAGTGGGCTAATGATGGTGTGGGAAATGTCTTTGTGTCTTGGGCCACCAAAGATGCTATTGTATCAGATAATGTGCTAATACGTGCTATATGAGCCTGCTCCTGATATAAAATCTTTAGCGGAAGGCTCTCTTGGTTCCACCATAATCTCGGATTTTTTTCGTGTTAGGAGCTACTTGAGAAACTGCAAGTTGCTTCTGGTGTGAGAGAATTGGCTGTCTGCAAGGATGTTGCCCAGGGAATTCCCTGATGGTTTACCATCCTGTGGGAGGCTTCTCTCATGTTCCCGCATGGGAAGCTGGAGCTGACAGACTGAGCTCATCCCGCTCCCTGGATTCGAACTGCCGACCTTTCAGTTGGCAGTCCTGCCGGCACAAGGGTTTAACCTAAACATGGGAAAATTTCGGCTCGCCAAGTGTTGTGGACTCTTACTGGCTGTTAGGAATTGTGGGAGTTGAAGTCCAAAACACCTGGAGGGCTGAAGTTTGCCCATGCCTGGTTTAACCTATTGCGCCACCAGAAGCTCCTCATCTCAAACATGTGGTGAGGATGAAAGCGAACCTTATCAGTGGCTGCTTCCAAGTTGTTGAACTTCCCTCTCCAGAAGATTTACTTGGCTTCCTCCCTGCTATCTTTCTTTGGACAGTTAAAGACCTTTTTTATTTAAGGAAGCTTTTGGTTTTATGTGTTTTGCAGTGGATAAAGCTTTTAATGAGAGTGTAGTGGTTGTATTATGTTTTAAGTATCTCTTAATGCTGTTTTAACTTATTTAATGTTGGTTTTAAAATATAACAATTTTACGTTTTTGAATGTACATTTAGTTGAATTGCGTCTTAACATTTGTATGAAGAGTTTTTAAAACTCGTATTGTGCTTTTAAAACATTGTATGCTGTCTTGATTGCTGTGCTGTGAGAAAGGATACAGCTGAAATATCAATAAACGAACAAGAATCTTATTCACGATTAGCTTATCTTTGGATTTAGCAGCAGCAGGAAGCAAGTACTTGGTTCTTTTACTACAGGATCCAGGAGAGGGATCAGCTTCAAAACAATGATATCTTTTGATCTGCTTTTTTACATCCAGTTGCTTTTCTCCCCTGAGCACTTCAAGTGCAGAGAGTGGGCACTTTCCTCTGCTGATTATGCAGTTGCAGGGAGAATGACTTGGGATTGCAGTCTTCCATATGGAAGCCTTACAGAGGACCCATAGATCAGCTTGCCTAATTCATGAAACAGTGGCTGGTTCAGAATTTATAGGTACTCCCCAATGATACTAAATATTTGTATCTAACTCTCACGTTATCTTCTTGCCTTTACACTCCTTCAAATGACTGACAGAGCATGAAGAAACTGTTAATGAACAATATATAGCTCCGAAAATAATAAAGCAAGTTTTAAATAAAATAGAAGATGACAAAGCTGAAATAAATGTATATCAGTGTTAATGTAAGGGAACTGTTACTCCACTTACTAAGTGTTGAAGGTATTATGTGATGTCAAACCATTAATTTTTCAAAATATGAAATGATTGTGGATGCAAATACTTCTGGAAGTACTGTAAGATATTGTTGAGTAAACAAATGCCCTTTTTACATGTTCTCTTTCAGAATTTCTTATCTCAGTATCACAGAAGTGGAATTGTGGAAATACTCTGCCTCGTTTAGAAACTTTGTGTCTCTCCAGCTTTCAGCATTACTATTGTTGAGAAGATACACATCCTTTCCTGTCAGTCTTGTAATTCTTCCAAGGAATGTACAATGACATCAGCAGTAGTTGACAGTGGAGGTTCCGTTCTGGAGTTCGACAGCAATGGAGTACAAATCGTTTGCGAGGTCAGAAAATGAAATACAACCTATTTTAATATAGTCTTTTAAAATGTTGACCAAGAATGCATGCTTTGAAGTGAGAAAAGGGTATTTCTTACTGCCTATTTAGAAAAATTAAAATAAAGAAGTGAAAGAAAAGAAAGGGATATATGATAAATTACAACATCACTGGGAGAAATATCTCAAGCCTGTTATTCAGAAGCTTTTTATGTTTGATTCATTAAATTAAGACTTTGAAGGCACACAATAACCATTAGCTAAATTAAATATGAAATTAACAAGTGTGACTTCTTTTCGTTTATTTAAATTGTATGACACAGTATGCTTTTTATTATCAAGGGGTAACAACATCATTTCAATTCTTGGTTGTGTGACACAACAAAATGTACAAAAGCAAAGTAGGAGGGGAAAAATACAAGACACGCTATCTAGTGAAATTCTATGGGATGTTGACCATAGAATTGAATTAGAGGCCTAGAGAAAACTGTTCTATTGGTATTTTTTAGGTTCTCCAGAGTGATTTTACTGGAAGTCAAGGATATAGCTCATTTCAGGAAAAAATAGGGTTCCAGATTATGTGAAAATCGTATTACATGAAAGGCCCTATAATGGGTCCTTTGCATAATACATGGGCTTACTGTATATGTTAAAGTATCACAATGAAATCTGTGGACGTTTGGTTTTATAATCATTCTAGTTCTAATTGTTCCTGCAATCATGTGCCTTGGTGGTTTTCAAATTCTTGAAAATTATAATGACATGCTGCTTGTTAATCACATACAATAGCATTTGTATCTTGAGGAATAGAGAAACCATGGGGCTTCAGATGGTGGCATACTGCAGCTCCCATGAAACATGAAGCATACAGTATTCTATTGTCAAAGGCTTTCACAGCCGGAATCACTGGGATGTTTTGTGGGTTTTGGGCTGTATGGCCATGTTCTGGCAGTATTTTCTCCTGCCCTTTCACCTGGATTTGTGGCTGGCATCTTCAGAGGATCAGATCCTCAGAAGATGCCCAAAAACCACACAGTACCCCATGAAATATATTGGCTGGGAGCCAGAATTAAACTATGTCTGGTGGACACCAGGATTCCAGTCATAGTCTAGAGCTTATGGTGCATTTCTAATGTGATATTCTAAGGTATATTTAGATTTATTCTAACTTTCTGTTAAACTCATAAAGTTACATAGTGGAATGGGAAAGGGATTGTTTAGAACAGATTAGGAAACTGAACTAATTCGCTCTCCCTTTTTCTTATGGGTTCCTACAGGAGAATGAGCCTGTCTCTGAGTATCCAGCCGTAATAGTAGAACCCGTACCCAGTGCCCGACTAGAACAAGGGTATGCTGCACAGATCTTTGTCTATGATGATGAAACATACCTGCTACAAGATGTTGCAGAAGAACAAGAAATCGAGACTGAAACTGTGAGAACAGGTAGACCTGTTTTTTTTAAAAAGAAAAGCATTTGGTGTGTTTCCATATTTTAATTGTTGTGTTGTACTGTGCCTTTAGGTTGTTTCAACTTATGGCAACCCTATTATAGGGTTTTCTTGGCAAGATTTGTTCAGAGGACAGTTGCCTACCTTAGGGGATGAGAGACAGTGTTTTGCTCAAGATCCAATGGCGAGCTGAACTTGGGTCTTCCGAGTCAGAGTCCAATCCTCAAACCACTTGATACCACACTGCCTCTTACAAACCTTTTATTTCCAGATTGATTTTTGCTTTCCTTCGGCTTAATGGGAAGAGCCAAAGGAATGTGGGAATTGTAACATTGAACAAAGATGCTAGCTGTACCTTCCCTGCGTAAAATTCAGAGATATATTTTTTTAAATTCCTCCAGTTTATATTCCATATTAGGAGATATCCTATCACTTGACTAGGGAAGGTGTTTAACAATAAATACCTATAGCTCCACAATTAATATTGCTGACAGCATATTTACATTTGTTATAGTACTTGTTACATTTCAAGCTATTTTGGTGTTTTCCTCTTTTAATATTAAAATATGGGCTTGTCTTGAACAAGGTGAGGTAGGGTAATCGGTAATTTCAATAAGACAGGCTGCTTTAAATTGTCTCTTTTGGGTTCTTTGAGACATCTTCATTAAAGTTTTGGCATTTGTAGCAATAATTAAATTGGTCAAATAAATATACCAAGAAGTAACAAGTAAATTAATGGTTACAAAAGCTGAAATCATCCCCACTTTTGGCATGGCTTGTTGGCCACAGATACACTTTGAATAGAACAGGAATGACTAATGTGTGGCCCTCCAGATGTTGATGGCATTTCCAGCAGCTGTAGTTAGCATAGCTTGTTGAAGAGATTGGATGAATCTTTCAGACCAGCTACATCGAAATGACTGCTAGTACCCTTTTTCTGATATGGTAGAATATTTTACCAATTCGGGTGCAAAGACACTGTATCTGGAATATGGTGAGACTATAAATCAGTGTTAGTAAGGTACAGATCTGTGAGAACTTTAGTTCCTCATTAGTGGTGTAGCCACTGATAGTATATTGATAAAATAGCGCATTTCAGATCTAACATTTAACTGGTGGACACATATGACTTAACAATTTCCTCCAAATTCAGCAAGCCCAATCCTTGCCCTTCCTCTTTTGGAAAGGCCTCCCATATATAATACAAATTCTGTAGTCCCAGTTTAGTTCCTGGTTATATTTTGTATTTAGGGCAGATTTGTGGATACCTCTAAGCAAAGCTTACTGTTGAACAAAAAAGTTCCACTGCATTTTTAAGAATCACCAATATTTTGCAACTTAAAGGAACCAATTATTACACCTGTTTCTTAAAATACGATTCTGTATACAACAATTTATAACCCCATGATTCAGGATTCAGATGGCTGGCTTTATGCCCAAGCCAGCCTTTGGATTTTTCAGTGCCACCCCTCTATGCTGCATTGCAGATTGCTCATGATACCAAGAGGAAAGTACCAAAAATTGTGATACCGAATGCAAAAAGAGACTCCTGCTGAAAGGGGAAATACAAATGGGTGTTAGTTTCCACCATCCATTTCATCTTTATTAATGACTTATATGAAAGGTTAGAAGGCATGATCATCAAGTTTGCAGACAACAGCAAATTGGGAGGGATAGCTAATACTCCAGAAGACAGGAGCAGAATTCAAAATGGTCTTAGCAGATTAGAGAGATGGGCCAAAGCTAACAAAATGAAGTTCAACAGGGACAAGTGCAAGATACTCCACTTACGTAGAAAAAATGAAATGCAAAGATACAGAATTGGGGGGGGGGGGCCTGGCTCGACAGCAGTATGCATGAAAAATACCTTGGAGTCCTCATGGACAACAAGTTAAACATGCACCAACAATGTGATGCGGCAGCTAAAAAAGCAAGAGATTTTGGCCTGCATAAATAAGAGTATAGTGTCTAGATCCAGAGAAGTCATGCTACCCCTCTATTCTGCCTTGGCCAGACCGCACCTAGAATCACACTGTGTCTAATTCTGGGCACCACAATTGAAGAGAGATGTTGACAAGCTGGAATGTGTCCAGAGGAGGATGACTAAAATGATCAAGGGTCTGGAGACCATGCCCTATGAGGAACAGTTTAAAGAGCTGGGCATGTTTAGCCTGCAGAAGAGAAGACTGAGAGGAGACATGATGGCCATGTATAAACATGTGAGGGGAAATGATAGGGAGGAGGGAGCAAGCCCTGGGGTCAATGATGTGGAACAATGGCTTCAAACTACATGAAAGGAGATTCCACTGGAACATTAGGAAGAACTTCCTAACTGTGAAAGCTGTTCAGCAGTGGAACGCTCTGCCCCGGAGTGTGGTGGAGGCTCCTACTTTGGAGGCTTTTAAACGGATACTGGATGGCCATCTGTCAGGGGTGCTTTGAATGTGATTTTCCTATTTCTTGGCAGGAGTTGGATTGTATGGCCCAGAAAGTTTCTTCCAACTCTATGGGTCTGTGACTCTATGACTCTGTAAGGTTCTTGTGGCACTGGAATGGAAATTTAGCTAATGCTCCTATAATAATGTGAGAGTCCCTGTCCCCATTCGCTGAGGGATAACAAATCCTCCCCTGTTTACTCTGTGTTCTTTAGTGATCTTTGGAATGATTTCCTCATTGTTCCCTGCCAATTGAGAAATAATATTGATATATTGGAAGGGAGTAGAAACATGAAATCAAAAGTAGAGTGGCTACTTATGTTAAAACCAAAAAGAAAATACTGTACAGTCAGCAGCGGTTAGTTTTCTCTTATAGGAGTCCCCAGGAGGAAAGAGATAATGCTGGCTTGGCAAAGAATTTTATCTGCACGTAGGAAGTGAAGGGTAAACAGGGTTACTCATGAGGCACTGTGCTGACATGGCTAACCATTCAGCCTAGATCTAGGTGGTGCAAGGAAAATATCATTATGCAGCAAGGCATCATGCCAGGATGATGAGATGGTGAAATGTCCCCTCTCTCTGAAAGGCGAACAGATTTATGAAGTGATGTGACTGATGCATGTAGCTTCATGTTTTTGAGTATGGAGTGTCTTGAAGGAAGTAAAACCCAACCTCGATGGTGGGGAGAAACAATATGAAGAATTAGGGCTGAAACCATGAAAAGAATGAAGGAAAGAAAAGATACATTTATCAAAAATAGCACTTTCTCATCAGCTGGGGATATCACTCCTGGAGGGACACCAGAAATCAAAATAGAGGGGTGGGGGAATGAGGAGAATGAAATACCACAGTCATGCATTCATCATACACATTACCAGATGTCCCCTGGCAAGGCAGCATAGGGTAACATGGCCTATGGGAAATTTATCCCTGGCAAAGAATATTAGGGTTTCCCATAACAGATCCTCTTTTTCAGGTGTGGATATATATTGGGAAACTACAGGATATAACGTGTATTGTTTGAACAAACCACACACTCTTATAGAGCACAACACCAATTTCGATTTTCCCAACAGTTAGATATTCCATTGAGTCTGAACAAATGTTTTTGCTGGGATTAGCCCACTGGATCCTGGCCTACAAAGCTAACATATACATTTCTAACTTTTCTTTTCCTTTTCATCAGTAAATATGATTTAAATAATCAGATTCAGTTTTGAAGGTAAGTTGGGTGTAACATCTGCGGCTGACTTTCTAGAAATAGATTCGATATTTAAGTAAGACATTTTTATGAGTTTTTCCTGGAGAAGTGTTTTACAACATCACTGTGTAGTATAACAAGGTGCTTTTATTGGCATAGTGCTCAAAAGCTTGTCTGTCACAGAACGCCAACAGTAAATGATCAAACATTTAAAATCTCGTGTTAACTGATATCAAGTGAACTTTAACATATGGCTACCCTATGAATGAGAGGCCTCCAAGTCACCCTGTCATCAACAGCCCTGCTCATTTCTTGCAGACTGAGGCTCTGGCTTTCTTGATGTTGCCTTCCTATTTTTCCTACTGCCTCCTACTTTACCAAGCATTGTTGTCTTTTCTAGTGAGTTATGGCTACTCATGATAATGAGCAAAGTCTCTGTTTAGTTATCTTGGCTAAGGAGAGTGCAGGTTTGATTTGCTCTTTTTATCTTTTTAGTAGTCGTCAGTATCTGTAAAATTCTTTCACATGTGGCAATTAAAGTTTTCTCTGTACACACAGTAATGATCCCAGTTTATGTAACCGGTTTTGTACTAAGAGGAAACCACTTTATTTGATTTTTATAGCTATAATTCATAGATAGCTATATACTTTTGTTTTCCTTAAAAGCATCCAGTAGGTTAAATAGAGAGTTCCAGTGGATGGAACTTAATGCATGGACTACTTCTATGGAAAGAAGTGGGGAAGTGAGATGATGTTTGTCAATTCTTTTTCCCCTTGAAAAGTTGCTCTAGAAGGGATAGATGCCCTCTTGAATAATATGGAAGGTAAAGAGAAGGCCTTAAGGAAGAAAGGAGCATCTGCAAAAGTTGCAGCTTCCTTTCATCATTGAGACTATGTTCTGGACCAGTCCCTTGCCTTGGGGGTTCCTTCTATTGAGGAAGGGACACTTTAGATCCAACCTCTTAGAGGTTGAGTATCCCTTATTTTAAATCCAACCTCTTAGAGGTTGAGTATCCCTTATCTGAAATGATGTTTTAGATTTTTGGAACACATGTATTTGTTTATATATACATAATGAAATACCTTGGAGATGGGACTTATGTCTAAACATAACATTAATTTATGATCCATATACATCTTATGGAGCCCCCCCAGTTAAACCGCTGAGCTGCTGAACTTCCTGAATGAAAGGTCAACAGTTCAAATCCCAGGAGCGAGGTGAATTCCTGCTATTAGTCCCATCTTCTGCCAACCTAGCAGTTCATAAACATGCAAAATGTGAGTAGATCAATAGGTACCACTCCGGCGGAAAAGTAACGGTGCTCCATTCGGTCATGCTGGCCACATGATCTTGGAGGC